TATCCTTTCTTTTTTTTTTTTTTGGATCCGGTCTTGTGGGCTGAACTCTGGGCCTGGGCGCTGTCCCTCAGCTCTTCAGCTCAAGGCTAACGCTTTACCACTTGAGCCACAGCGCCACTTCTGGCTTTTTTTCTGCTTATGTGGTGCTGAGGAATCGAACCCAGGGCCTCATGTATGTGAGGCAAGCACTCTACCACTGAGCCAACTTCCCAGCCCTAAATTTTCTATCCTTTCTGAGTAAAAGGAGAGACATTTTACTGGTATCTTTTTTTAAAATTGAAAACTAGATCCATTAGAAATATTTGGCTTTAGGAGATTAGCAATGGGCAAGGTTATGGAATGTGGTCACTTACTCATCTTGCTTTAGTCCCAGACTTAGGACAACCTCAGTGTTTTAATTGCTATGAAAAGCATCTAGTTTCTTCTTCAAAATGCCAGCTTGGCAGAGATGGCCTCTGTGGTCTTAGCACATAGTAGCCAAAAAACATTTTTAATTGCATAAAGTCATTGGAAAGCAAAGGGATCAATATACCGTGCTCACTTTTGAATTTAAATGTCAAAATTTGATGCAGTTCCAACTTATAATACCAACATAAATCAGTAGGGAGCTAAAACTGTTTTGTTTTTTTTTTTTTTTTGGCCTGCTGGAATGGCTGAGGAGCTAGGCACTGAGGAAAGAGCAAGTTCGTCCTGGATCAAGTTGTTCTAAATGTGTTCCTGTCCAACACTTACATACAGGATTGCTTTAGAAATCAATGTAAGTGGTCACTTTTGCCCTGACCCCAAGCAAAGATGTGTTTCATTATAGTACACTGCCACCTAGTGTTCACTATGAAAAACACATGCTCTATTAATGCAGGTTTCCTGGCCGGAGTGGTTTGGGAGTAGCAAGGTACATGATTTCTTTTCTTCCACTGAAAATAATTAGCGGTTGATGGGTTCCTAGGAGGTGAGAGACCTGTGAGGAAAGAGAGGAGGATATAGATTATAGATCTTTAGAGTCTAGAAAGCCCACTAGTGGGAGAGTAGAAAATCCAGACCGTCGGTAGTACCTTTACTCCCTGCCTCCATGTGCCAGTTGATGAGTTCGGTTAGCCCCAAAGACTTTGACTCCCTTTATCCCTATCTCTGTTGCTGTCCCTAAGTGAGGTATCAAGGGATCCCCAATACCAACAAGAAGAATCTGAGATGTGCAAACCACCCTCTACACTTGCTTACATAGCACGGGGCTTGTCAGAAGGCTCGGAGCAACATGCTAGCAAAGTCTTCATCCTCAACATAACTTAGAGCAAGGTGGTCACATTCACGTGCTTGTTGGTAGAAACTGGGACAGAGCAAAAACATGAGAGTGGCTGGTTATTCTCGCTTAGACATGGTACATCAAATGTTGTTTAGGAAAGAGTGCAAGCCGGGAGAGAGATGTGCGGGAGCGGGGAAGTCCAGGAATGTTGGTGGGAACTGGTAGTATTTGGAACAATATGGGAATCTGATGAACAGATGAGACTTCTACAGGTTGAAATGGAGCCTGAAAGTAGATGTAAATGGGAGGAAAGCTGGAAAGATAAAAGGTGGCACTAGTTCAGAGGCCGAGGTGACAGGTGAGGCAGAGGAGGGGTGAGGGGATCAGGAGGGCTGGCATTGTTGTGGCTGCATCTACCAACATGGCAGGCAGGAAAGTCCATGAAACTCTTACCACTAATTCACTAGCAAAAAGCCAGAGTAGAGCTGTGGCTGAAGTCTTCTGAGCAGAGGGTGGGTCTCATATAGAGCTATGAACAAGATGCCTCTGCCTCATGGTGAGCATGGGCTGTGTTGAGAGTTGGGAGGGCAGAAGAGAAATGGCCTTAAGGAATCATTGCAGCTGTTATAGTAGTTTAGTGAGTTGCCAGAGCTTTGAAGACACAGGCTGGTAGGGCTTATATAAAGGTGTGTGTGTGTGTGTGTGTGTGTGTGTGTGTGTGTGTGCATGCACTCGTGTGTATGTGCATGCCAATGCTGGGGCTTGAACTCAGGGTTTGGGTGTTGTCCCTTAACTTTTTCACTCAAGGCTGGTGCTCTACCATTTGAACCACAGCTCTACTTGTGGCTTTTTTTGCTGGTTAATTGGAGGTAAAAGTTTCATGGACTTCCCTGCCTGGGATGGCTTCACACCTTGATCCTCAGATTTCAGCCTTATGAGTAGATAGGATGACAGACATAAGCCACTAGTGCCAGTTGTATAAAACTTTAATGAATCTGAAGATTAACTGAGATATTTTCTGTGAAAATGGGGAGCTATCAAACAGAATTGGGCTGCACTGGGGAACTGATGACTTTAGGTAAAGGCTGTTATCTCAAACTTTGTTCTCTTGATGAAACTGCAGTTCCTTCAGTCCTCCAAAGATTGCAGTCCTGAAATCCTTTGTTTCCTGCCATTCCCCAACTTTATTTTTAACCCTCTATTTTTGACATTTCAGATTCTTTACTCTTTAACCTGGAGGCTAATGCAAAAGATTTGTTACAGCAGAAAGGAGAGAATGTAAAGTCTTGGAAGAGGTTAGGCTTCCATGGTCCCCAAAGAAGCCCAACTACCCTTGGTGGGTCTGTCTTCTTACTTTTTAGAAAAGCCCATTTATACTGCTGGGGCCCAGCCATGTGGTGGTGGTCGGGGGGCACAGGAATGTGTCAATATGGGGATCCTGGTTCAAAAATGACTATTTCCACAGTGTTAACACAACTTGGAGTCCTCTGCATCTTCCCAGGTTGCATGTGTGAGAAGTCTCCTGGTCACTTCTGCCTTCTACTCCCCCTGACAGCAGAGAAAAGCTCCATGTTGAAATCATTTAACTGAGAATGCTCTACCTTGCACTGACTTTGGGATAGTTTTACAACCTGGCTGGTATTTAGATCAGAACTCAATTTGTGAGGAATGGTTGTATCAAAAAAAAAAATGGTTAAGTTCACTTCTCTGAAACAGGTAAAGTTTAAACACTTTTTATTTCAAGAAATATTGCTTCTAGACTTTCCTGAAGCCAGAATTGTTCTATAAAAGTATCACAGAGTATTATACAAGATTAAAAAAGAAACACCACAGTATGCTTCCTAAGATCTTGAATTTTTTTAACAGAGCACATCATTCATGACCATAAATATGTTTATTCTGTCATTCAGCAGATGACACACACATCTGATAAACAGCTAGTTAATTTTAACATATGTACAGAGTCTATGATAAAGACTTAAAGTTACCAAAGATTCAACTATGACATTAAATTTTCTTTAAAAGGTTTTACCCTTAAACACTTAAAGAAAACATAATGAACCTTAATTCTTGAATTATCTAAAATGAAAAAAATAGTTAACTCAAACAAAAAATCTTCTTAGGAAATTGAATGGGGTACTGAACTCTCCACGAGGTAACTTTCTGTTGGCATTTAAAACAAGAATATTTTTAAGAATACAGATTTTCAAACGCAATTTTGAACTAAACGTCATAAAAAAATCAGGACTAGTGACAGACTTAAAAATATTCCTATAACTCAGTGTTGCACAATTAACTTCCCTTGTGGTGTGTTTAAATTGTGGCGCAATCATGAATTCATTGAAAAAAGTCTTACACAAATCCAAAACTATCCATATTTCCTCAGCACTTAAACTTCATTAATCAAGGCAAGAAAAGTAAAGCTGACATTAAAATGTCTTTAGTTCTTCTTGTTGTTGTTGTTTTCTCCTTTCTGTTAAGGAAACAACCAAAAATTAGCCATTTTTAAGCATAAGGTGAACAACTAGCACAGAGAGATCAGGCAATTTTTGTCCTGCTTACTTATTTATTTTTACTGCCAACATTATTAGCCATGCCTTTCTGCTAATCAAGTTTAGCAAGTCGAGGTAAAACACATGCAATAGTATCCTGGCAAAAGCATACGTTAAACAATATGTGATCCATACTGTGTGTCTTCCTTGGGGCTTGTTTGACTTTCTCACACCGAGAGGCAACAGTGTGGCTGATAGGCCTGAAAAATACAACAGTACCACTACCCCCAAACAGACATGGCATTCCAATCTCAAAGTGCAATCATCGAAGCAAAAATGATGACATGGAAAAAGTTCCAGTGGTAAAAAAAAAAATGAATCAGAACTCCATTGTGCAGGCAGTTAATGAGAATTGACAGATTCACCAGGGGGAGAAAGAGAGAGTCAAGTTTTAGGGACTTAGAAGGCACAATTCTAGCCATTTTGATTGGATAACCTTTATATATGCATGGCCCTATGATAGTCAAATAATACTGTTTTAGTACCAAGAAACAACACAAAAGAGACAAAATAATATCCCCTCCAACCTTTCTTTTTACTCCTGGCAAATACTGGATTGCTACAATGAGTCCCAGTGGGAATATCACTTGCTCACATGATTTCAACCACACAGATACACCCAGGGTGGCTTGGAATGTTGGTAGATAGGATTGCCGTTATTAATTTACTAGTAAAAAGTTGACCAAAAAATACTGTGATTGGGGTCAGGGAACAGAGGAGAGAGGCGAGGAGGCACTGCCTTTTAAATACTGTTCAATATCCTTTTGTGTAATTCTTCACCTTGGCCAGCTTCCTCTCCACACTGCTGGAAAGAACAGGCTGCTGTATGCTGGATGTGTTGAGCGTCTGATGAAGGTTTCCATCAGAATGCACAGGAAGATACAGTTGATCTTCAAAAACATCTTCTCCTGGCCCATCATCCTGGGGAAGTGCTACTTGATGCCTGTGAATGGGCTGCAGCCCGGGATGGGGCGGAAGCGCTAGCTCTGTCATGCCATTGCGGCTGAAAGCACTTTCAGGATGGATGACCTCTTCCTGTTCCATCCACTTTTCAGTTTGACCATTTCTCCAGTGTTCAGAATTCCAATGATTCACTTCTGGAATGTCATTATTCCATTCAAGTTTACTATCTGGACTTAATGTGGGTTGGTTCAAATACAGAGGTTGAAGGTCAGCTGGCAAGGTCAAATGAGGTACTTCCCCAACCATAAGACTTGGGTCTTCATCGGACTCTGCTGAAGCCATCTCCCCTGGCACCGAGAGCTCAGCAGAGTCAATCAAGAACCCATCACTTTGAGCAGGTTGAGTCTGGCTTGTTTCATTTTGCTCAGAGTGACTGCTCAGCAGTGCAAATACTCTATCTACATCCTTCAAGTAATTAGTCCAGTCCAGCAGACTAAGGCTATAGTTGTGTCTGTCCTCATAGATGCTTTCATTCACGCTGTATAACTCCTCCAAGCCTTGCCAGTTGGTGTCTGCAGGGAGGTTAGGCAGGCTAACCTTCCCATCCATCCCAGAGCTGTCCTCTGTGGAGACAGGAAGGATGCTTCATCAGTGCAAAAATCGTTTCCTACTTAACTGGACAAGCACCTTACGCTATTTTTTTTTTAAACAAACCAGTTTGGAATAGAACGCTAGAAAGTATTTTCCCCTAGATATTTCTTTTTTTCTTTTAAAGTTAATTTTATTGTCAAGGTGGCCCCTAGAGATTTCTTACCGAGGAGTTGTCACACTTATAGGTGACTTAGTGACAGCAGGAGTAGGAAAAAAGTTGAGACAAGTGAAAACCTCTGTGCATATGCATCAGCTGGAGGTGGAGTGGATCTCTCCTACCTGCCACACCTGTCCTGGGACTCAGGAGAGTACCGGCATGAGTCTGTTTGAATCTTGGTCCTTCTTTGGTCAAATGTAGGAACAGGTGTATGGCAAATCCATTGTCATTTACAGGGTGGCTGGGTGGCTGATGGATTTCAAGGCATTTTAATGTAATAGGCAATATGTAGTACAGTATCTTTATTTTAGTCTCTGGTACTCAGTTGTGTAATCAAGTGCATCTTCAATTCAAATTTGATCTGTTTCCTTGAGTTTTTTTTGGCCTAGAAGTTCTACACTATAGATAAATCTATGTCTTTTTAATAAATCTCCATCTGAATTTTTTCACAAAGAAGATAGCAGTGTTCCCCTTCTCATATCTGCATACATCATCAAGAGGACTATAGTCCTGGAACGAAACGAAACAAAACAAACCCCTTTCTCAGTGTGCCTAAGGAGCATTTAGAAAGGCCCATCACTAACTTTGATCAGTGTGATGAACTACTCACAAAGCAAGAGAGAGCAGCAAGAAAAACTAGTAAAACCACACAAAACTCACAGCTTCCGTGCAACTAGAAGAGAAAATATTCTAAAATCCTCAGACCACCTGCAAATAAAAAGTGTGAATACCAAATCCCAGCAGAGTTGCAGGTCACATTCTGGCCATAGACCCTGGGGAGAGAGTAGTCGGAGAGAAATGAGGAGTGAGGGTGGAGTGAGAATCCAGTTGGAAGTGAGAAGTGAGAGCGGAAGTGAGGCTCACGTGAAGCTATCACTGGGGAGAAGCCTCAGCACCATGTGGAAACACTGTCCAGGGTTTTGGTAAGACACACACGTGATTCGAGGGGGAAGTCTTTGAAGGGCATCGCTTCAGGGAGCAAAGACCACCAAGGAAAGGAGAGATAACCTTTGGAGACTGGTTGGTAAAAGAAAGGAGCCCAAGGGGGGGAGATCTCAGGTCCTGCAAAGGGGGAAAACAAGAGAAACAAGAGACTGGAGGTCCTGTGACCTGTCTACCCCCACCCTGAAATCATGAGTATACTGGGTGACACTGACAAAAAAAAGAACTGGGAATTGTGTGAATAGTCTAAACCCTGCAAATTAAAAAAAAAAGCCTAACTCTATACAAAACAGTAGAAAAGAAAATACAAAACAGGAATTAAAACAACAACAACCTATTATGACAATATCCCTGCTAAAATAAACCATCAAGTGAAGAAAACCACAACACACCAGTGCTAAGCAAGTTAATCTGAGGATGTGAAAGTGTCCTAGGAGAGAAATGAAAGTATGCAGAATCTCACACCCAGTCAGATCCTTTGTCAAGTATCAAGGAAGTTTAAAGATTCCTACAAGAATGCACAAATTGGGCTGGGAATGTGGCTTAGTGGTAGAGTGTTTGCCTAGCATGAAGCCCTGCATTCGATTCCTTAGTACCACATCAACAGAAAAAGCCAGAAGTGGCACTGTAGCTCAAGTGGTAGAGTGCTAGCCTTGAGCAAAAGAAGCTCAGGGACAGTGCCCAGGCCCTGAGTTCAAGTCCCAGGATTGGTAATAAATAAAGAATGCACAAACTGCTAGGCATTAGTGGTATATGCTGTAATCCTAGCTACCCAGGAGGCTAAGAACTGAAGATCACAATTTGAAGCTAGCCCAGGTAAGAAAGTTCGTGAGATTCTTAGCTCCAATTAACCACTAGAAAACCAGAAGTGGAGCTGTGGCTTAAAGTGGTAGAGCGCTAGTCTTGAGAAAAAAAAGGGTGGGGAGAGGGGAGAGGGGGAGAGAAAGAGAGAGAGACAGAGAGAGAGAGAGTGGGAGAGACAGAGAGAGGGAGAGAGAGAGAGAGAGTACCCTAGACCCCGAGTTCAAGCCTCATGACAAAAAAAAAAAACAACAAAAAATTCAGGAACTACTGTGCACATTAGCTCTTTTTGAGCACTTTTCTAGAAACATTCAAGTAAAACAGATGCAGAAGAAGGGCTAAAAAACATTGGCATTGGGCTGGAGGTGGCTTACTGGTAGAGCACTTGCCTTGATGCCTGAGGCCCTGGGTTCAATTCCTCAGCACCACATAAGCCAAAAGAAAAAAGCCGGAAGTGGCGCTGTGGCTCAAGTGGTAGAGCACTAGCCTTGAGCTGAAGACCTGAGGGACAGCGCCCACACCCAGAGTTCAGGCCCGCGACCGGACCCCCCCCCCCAAAAATGGCATTATATAGGACAAAGAAGAAACAGGGCACCTGAAAATGGAAGAAATGGAAAGATGAATGAGGATAAGCTCATTAAATGTTTCTTTGGGAGTCAAAGAAGGCCAGTACAAATAGAACAGTAAGAAAGCATCTGGTTAAATAAGAAAACAGGGGCAAATGACATTTAAAGAACTGCAAGTAGGGCTGGGAAGGTGGCTCAGTGGTAGAGCGCTTGCCTTGCATGCTTGAGGCCCTGGGTTCGATTCCTCAGGCAGTCCAAAGTCAGCACAGGCAGGAAAGCCCATGAGACTCCAAAAAAGCCGGAAGTGGCGCTGTGGCTCAAGTGGTAGAGCACTAGCCTTGAGCTGAAGACCTGAGGGACAGCGCCCACACCCAGAGTTCAGGCCCGCGACCGGACCCCCCCCCCAAAAATGGCATTATATAGGACAAAGAAGAAACAGGGCACCTGAAAATGGAAGAAATGGAAAGATGAATGAGGATAAGCTCATTAAATGTTTCTTTGGGAGTCAAAGAAGGCCAGTACAAATAGAACAGTAAGAAAGCATCTGGTTAAATAAGAAAACAGGGGCAAATGACATTTAAAGAACTGCAAGTAGGGCTGGGAAGGTGGCTCAGTGGTAGAGCGCTTGCCTTGCATGCTTGAGGCCCTGGGTTCGATTCCTCAGCACCACATAAGCAAAAAGAAAAAACCCGGAAGTGGCGCTGTGGCTCAAGTGGTAGAGCGCTAGCCTTGAGCTGAAGAGCTGAGGGACAGCGCCCAGGCCCAGAGTTCAGGCCCACGACTGGACCCCCCAAAAAACCAACCAACCAAACAAACAAGAACTGCAAGTATTAGGACAACTTACTGGAGGAAAACAAAGTTTCTACTAAGTTCCAAAGCAAAACTGAGCAATCATCTTTATAAGAAGAAATGGTAGAAGATTCAAGGTAAAATATGCAGAAACAATAGGAGACAATTAATCCAGGTCAGATCCAATGGACTAGAAATAAACTGGAACACTTACTGGAACATTGGAACCACCAAGGGGCCATTTTGGAGTTTTCCCTTGTGGTGGACACTTCAGTGCATGGAGTGAGTGGACAGGGGTGGGAGCTACAGGAATGGAGGAGGGGCATTCCTAGACCTGGGCCTCTCACATCCTTGCAGCTACATCATGCCAACAGCTGTCTGCCAGCAACACAGACAAAGGCTACAGATGGCTTCCGGGAAGGCTGCAGGGTATGGAGCAGGGTCAGTGCAGGCAGAAGGCTGTATGGCTACATAATTCTTTTTTAGGTCATCTCAACTTCCTCTTTTACTCCTCTATACAGTGATCCCAGGATGGGGGCTACAACTGCTCAGATAACTTCTCAGGAAAACAGCTTATTAAAATGGAGCCAATAGAGATGGAAACCTAACCAGAACAAGTTCCATAGAAGAAAAAGAAAAGTTACTAAAAAACAATTTTAAAAACAAAACAAAACACCCCATTCAACAAAGACAATCCAGGGCCCCATGAGTCTCACAGGAGAGTTCTGAGATAGCTTCAGAATCCTAATGTTGTGTGACTGTTGGAGAACAAAGTCAAACAAAATGTCAAACTCTTTTTATGAAGTAAGGCAATCATAATATTCAACGTATATATGCAAAAATTTAACTAGGTAGGGTTGGGAAGGGTGGGAGAGAATGATGATTGGAATGACATTGTCAAGATGCATTGTACTACCAAACTGGACATTTTTTTGGGGGGGTCCGGTCGTGGGGCCTGAACTCTGGGCCTGGGCGCTGTCCCTCAGCTCTTCAGCTCAAGGCTAGCGCTCTACCACTTGAGCCACAGCGCCACTTCTGGCTTTTTTTTTCTGCTTATGTGGCGCTGAGGAATCGAACCCAGGGCCTCAAGCATGCAAGGCAAGCGCTTCACCACTGAGCCACCTTCCCAGCCCACAAACTGGATATTTTTAATAGAAATTTCTATATGTAACTGTTTAAGGATAATAAAATATAAAGTTAAATTTAAAAAAATAGTGTGCAGATGTGTGTGTAGGGAGAAAGAGAGAGAGAGAGAGAGAGAGAGAGAGAGAAAGAAAACATCATCAAAAACAATAACAAAAAATCCAAACCTAGTAGGGAAAGAAAACCATTAAGTGAAGAAACCAGAACACAATAGTGTTACGCAAATTAATCTTAAAATTATTCCCACAACTTTTCATGTAAACACAGTTATGTCAAAATAGAAAGCTAAAAAAATTAATACATTAGTATGTAAATCCTGGTTTTTGCCAATCCTCAGCTGTTGGGCTATGCTGAATTTCTTTAGTTAGAAAGCAAAGGTGTGTATGTTTGTTCTGAAAATCAGATCTTTAGAATAAATGTAATTATTTCAAGTTACTTGTAATAGTCACTGGCCCTAGAAGCAGAAAGGATGTGAAATCACTAAGAGACCCTTAAGAAGACAGCTGGAGTTGGAGCTGAGTTTTAGTTCCTCCCAAGGAAACATACAAGATATACTAATGGCCTTTGGACTGATGTCTCTTACTGTTTCCTTTTACACACTGCTTCATTCATATAACTGCTAGTATCTCATTTTCTACTTTACTACTTATATCCTCCACTGCCTAGGGCTTGTTACAGACCCTTGTGTGCCAAGTATGTGCACCAGGGAGGCTGGGATTTGAAGCCAAGGCAGTCTGGCACCAACACCCATGCAGATAACTTCAGGGCCATATAGTCGTACCATTGTGGCCATCTTCAGTGCTCACTGATTGAAAATTAGCTAGCACAAAGTGAGGGTGGAGTTTAGAGCTCCTCTTGCCTGCCAGCTAGAGGAGTTGGCAGGAAGGATCAGACAGCACTTGCTAGATCAAGGCTGCAAGAACTGTCTGCCCCTCACAGCCATGGGTCCTCAGCCCAGCTGATCTGGGTGGATATGAAAGGGGGATGGCAGTAGTGGCTTTCATGCTCAGTAGGAAGAACAAACATCCCCTAGACCTGTTGATCCTTTGCTGTTTTATGTAACAGTTAGATGCTGCTTTCACCCCCAGCCAAATGATTTCAGGAGTCTTGTGAGCCTGGGCTCAGCCCTTTCAGCTGGTCCTAGCTGAAAAAGACCATGTAGGTCAAGTCTCATCAGTTCCTGCCTCATGGAATTTACAGCACCAAAACCAACAAAAATCCCAAACCAAAATAACACACAAACAAAATAACAACTACCAAACCAATAACAACAACAACAAAAACAAAACAATAAAGCAAAACAAAAAAATGCCACCTAAGGACTCATGCCTATTCCTAGCTACTTAGGAAACAGAGATGTGAGGATGGCAGTCCAAAGTCAGCACAGGCAGGAAAGCCCAGGACGCTTATTTCCAAATAACCAGCAAGAAGCTATAAGTGGAGTTGTGGCTCAAGTGGTAGAGCATTAGTCTTGAAGAACACACACACACACACACACACACACACACACACACCGAACTGTTTTGCTTTTTGAAAACCCTCTAAATAAATCTCTCAAGATTCATTTTTGACAATCCATTGCAAGAAGGCAGTTTATAAACATTAGGGGATGATAAACACACCAAATTCACACACACACACACACACACACACACACACACACACACACACACACACACACACACACCGAACTGTTTTGCTTTTTGAAAACCCTCTAAATAAATCTCTCAAGATTCATTTTTGACAATCCATTGCAAGAAGGCAGTTTATAAACATTAGTTTAGGTGTAAATAAGAACCTTTCTAAAACACTCTGTTGAATTTTCCAGTTTCAGATTATTCAGGTTGGCTTGTTAAGAGTCCTCTCAAAAGCTTTCCACATCAAACTTCAGAATTAACAAACAAACACACCAATTAGTTTTCTTAAGCCTAACGAAATCAAAGAAGGAAGGCTTCTAAATGTTCTTTCGTGCACACGAGGGCCTTTGCACTGTGCCCTCCCTCATCCAGTTAGCAATCTCTGCCACATTGACAGTGCTCCCCTTCAACCCAGCAAAGCCCAGGAGCAGGTGAGACTGCATCGAACACTGCACTTGGGGGTCCAGCGTGTCTATGGATGTGACAAGCAAATGTCCTTAGTAACCCCGTGTGAGGATCCCTGTCTACAATGGGGACACATCTAAGCCACTTGCTGATGTATGCACTATACGAGAGATGGTGGTGTGGATAATGCCAGCGGCATTGAGTGCTACATTATCCTCTGCCTTGCCATTTGGTAAGTAGCTTGGAAGGGGACAAGAAGGACAGCAGGGAACATGTCACCCTGCACATTTCCACAGCTAGCGTTGCCAAGGCTGTGTCAGAATAACCTCAGGATCAATACATTATTGGGACTGTTGAGTGATGTGGCAGGCAGCAGGGATGGGGAGCAGCCTAGATGCTTGTCACTTAATCATATCCAAGTACAGTTAAACACCCTTCATTAAAAAGTTGTCCAGGGATGACCTCATGGTGCCATGGAAAATAACTGTGACTCAGGGCTCTGGCCAGGCCTATGTCTTAACCCATGAATATCCTCTTACCTCATTCATGACTGAAGTAAAAGGCTGTTAGACTGAAAATCCTTTAGTGCATCACCAAATCACTGCAAAGCCAATAGTATTGTTTCCATTTATATCACACTTCAGAAATGTCTTAATGTAACCCTTGAGATGCAGGAAATCATCGTGGTGTGTGGGCTATTGCTTGTCAGTCCATACCCTGAAGAATGGGTTCTTCTTCTGTTCTGCCTTATTTAAGTGTTCTGGGGGTGCGGTGGGGGTCATTGTGGGGCCAATGGAGGAAAGGAAAGAGGATGAGGGAGGAGGGCAATAGAAGAGATATATAAATGATTCTAGACATCCTCAGAAGTCCAGCTTCCTGGGTTTTCTTTCTGTCTTTCCCATCACTCATCCTATCGTCTCAGCCTCTTGGTGGAAGAGTGAGCTGGGTCTAGAAGAAGCACCTGAGACCCTTGCTCAGGAGGCTGCTGGGGGAGGTGCCAGGGTGAATGGGCTCTAGAGTGGCCATTTTCTTTGTTTTCTAGAGAAAATATTGATTTGGATGTAACTAATGGAGTCCATGTTTCTTTGATGGACATTTCTCTTTTAGGCATATCCATCAGAGAGGAGCAGACATCTGTGCCCCAGTCTCCCCCAGCAAGCACACTTCTCACAGAGCCTCCCAAATTCAGTATTCAAGGGAGAAAATAGCAATGGCTGACATTCCGGGGTGACCAACTGCTACCATACCAGGTACTTACTCCCACACACAGTGAGTTAGAAGGAGAATGCAGATTAAAAAGGGATAAGATGTTCGCATGCAGGGTAGTTCATGAAATGTTTGTGTTTTAGCCATTACTAAGTATTATGTTGATATCTTTCGGAGCATTCATCCACTTTCTTTCTCTCTCTCCCTCTTTCCTTCCTACCTTCTTTCCTTCCTTCCTTCTTTTTTCTTTCTTTCTTTCCTTCCTTCTTTCTTTTCCTTCTTTCTTCATTTCTCTCTTTCTTGGATGGTACTTAAGTTTGAATCCAGCACTTTGTGCTTTCTAGGGAGGTGCTCTACCACTTGAGTCATGCCCCTGGCCCTCTGATTTAAGCATCTTGACTCAAGACACTCTTACCATTCACCTTATTTACTACCCCTTTCAGAGTCTTCTGAATCCTTATAGCCAGTGCTTCTTGTCACCGAAGTTAATGAAAATTATTAATAAGGGAGTTCTGCTTTCTCCAATGTGAGCTTTGGAACATTCCTGAATTTCTCAACAGTCCTTTTTATGCACCAATGGAATATTTAATAAAAATATCTCTAACTCATTTTTTATAAAGGCTTCCCACCAAATCCACGTGCAAGTCCTAAAGCAAAACAAACCTCCCACCCACCTCTCCCAGCGCACTTCCAAAGGCATTTCCCCTTCCACATCATTCCAGGCTTTTAAAAGCATCATCCAACGAGCAAAATAAGCATGGCAGTAAGTATAAGAGACCTCTTTTGGGAATGAGAAACTGATTTAAAAGCAAAATGACAAGTCTGTCACCAATGCCAAAATATGATGGAATGTGGTTAGGACAAACATGCACCCCGAGCTGCGATGAGAACCAGCCACATGGTAAGAAACACGTACGTAGTTGAAATGACGGGATCATGCAATTATTTAGAAATACACTGCCAAGAATAAAAAAGTCTGAATACCTGTGTAGGTCATAGCTTCCTCCATCTTTATTTCCTGATATAGGAAAATACAAGAGTAATTATGTTAGCTTTAGAACTCACAAAACCATTCACTAGGTAGTTTCCATGCACAACCTCTACACCCTAGAAAGAAACACATTGGGTTAAACATAGACAGTGTTGAAATGCCACAGAGATGTTCTATGAGAGAGGTTTAAAATAAGGACTAAGAGCTATAAATAAAAAAGTTTAAAGTTTAAAAAAAAAAAGGAAGAATTCCCATGGGGAAAAAATAGTTGGAAAAGAGCAGAGTTCACTTAAAAGTGGTGAGGAAAGAACTTCCAGAAGTCTCAATAAAAGTTAAATGTTGGTCATTTTTAGAAAAACAATTACTCAAAAAACAGGCCAGTCATCATTGTCCTTAAGAACAGTCTAAAGAGGAGACTGGACCATTTAGAGTATAACAGACCTGGGGAGAGGGAAAATTTCATCATTAAGGACTCTATTGGATTTCATGCAGCAAAGCTCTTATGTCTTTACAAAGCAGCTATGAATGCCATGTTGTTTGAGGAAGAGATAACTGGGTGTAATATTTCTAGAGCATCTAATAGGTAGCTTAGTTTTCAGGCCTTTGTGGGCTATTTTTTCCCTTTGTGGGCTGCTTTTCTTTCCCCTCCCTCCCTCCCTCCCTCCCTCCTTCCCTCCCTCTCTTCCCCCTTTCTTCCTCCCTCCCTCCCTCACTCCCTCTCTTCCTTCCTTCCTTCCTTCCTTCTTTCCTTCCTTCCTTCCTCCCTCCCTTCCCTTCTCTTCCTTTTGTAATATTTTAGGAAAAGTTCAATAGATAGGCAGGAAATCTGAAAATGCTTGAGTTGAGTGGAGTTAGTGACCTGTTTCTCAAGTTTGGTCCTCTCATGGTTTTGCAATTAATTTCCACTCAACTAAGAAGTGTTGATTGATAACTGAAGTGTGGCCTCTCTCATTGAATTTCTACTTTCTTATAGGATACCCATAGCTCAAAGGCCTTTAGTTCTCTACAGTGGTAGAATGACAAGCAAGGATGTTGATCATTTCAGGAGGAGAAACTCTTTTTCCCCCACAAGTCACATGAGGCAAAAATTTGTCACTTCTGTTGCTGGGGATGCTGGTTAAATATGGGACCCACAGATAAAGGTTAAAATTGGCTTATTAAAGTGGGCTCCTGACCAGGTAAATTGAGGGGAATGAGTGGGGTTGAGAGAGATGAGGGAGAATGGTCAAAAGGGTTGACATTAATCAAGCTGCATTGTGCTCACAAACCGAGATCCCTTTGTACAAACAGAATTCCTTTGTACAACTTATATATTATATGTTACTTATAGGTAATAAGGAATAATAATAATTTTTTAACAAGTGCTGGGTGCTGGTGACTCAAACCTACAATCTTACTCAGGAGGGTGAGATCTAAAGATCACGTTTCAAAGCTAGCCCAGGCAGGAAAGCCTATGACACTCTTATCTTTAACTAACTACCAAAAAAGCTGGAAGTTTGAAGCTGTGGTTCACATGGTTGAGCATTAGCTTTGAGCAAAAAGGCTCAGGGACAGCACCTAGGCTCTGAGTTCAAGCCCCAGGACCAGTACAAAAATAAATAAATAGATATAAATAAATGTATTTAAAAATAAAAAATAAACTGAGCTCCTACAAAGTGGTTCCTAATGTCTGTAAGTCCAGCTTGCTTTTTACCCACTGGGGGTTGACATGCTGTGTACATACCAATGCCCTTGCTAGCTTCAGTTCTTTTCTTTTCTCCTATGGGAAGCTGATACTTAAATTTCTAGAGTTATAATAGAACAAGTGAGGAAAGAGTTGGGGCAACACTGAATGAGCTATGTCTCCATGAGCCAAAGGAGAAGTCAGTTACACACTGCAGACTGGAGAGGGAACCTCTGGCTAATTCCATTTCAGGTCCCAAGTTAGTGAACTTCTCAAGTATCTCTATTTTCAGATGGGAACTATTGGAAAAAGTAATCAAATTCACTATGACATGGGCAGGGATCCAACTGGAGGAGCTCCAAACTGACAAGCAGAAACAGGGCCACTGTGTATTTCTACCAAGTTCCCCTAAAAACAAAACAGAACAAAAAAAGAGGACCTTCTGGTTTTGTTAGAATATATCTTATGATTGTTGACAGCGATAGCAAGGAAATCTCCAACGCTTACAGCTCAACTTCCAACAGTTGCTACAGAATTTACTATTAGAATAGTCCTCTGGGAGAGATTGGAAGGAAACACTTAACCCAATCTTTTGGTAGTTGTTGTTTTTCATTGCTATATACTCTGAATTAAACTTAGAGAGAGATCAAATTATGTTTTAAATTGCCTGGAAAGTTTCCCCTATGACTACCCCTGAATAGTATGTCTCTGCACATATACACATTTCAAAGGCAGAAAACTTAGTAACATAAAGAATTTTCCAAGATATACATATATATGTATATATCTATATGTATATAATTTTTTTCCTTACCAACTTCAAGGCCTTTAGGTCGTGGGTTACACTGCTTATACCCTTGGCAGCTTCTGAGCTCCATCAACTGTATGTGTAGCTGATTCAAAATGCCTCGTTCTACTGTGTGCACTGTATTGGTGAGCTGTGAACAAAGAAGGCAGGGCACCAGATATAAGTTCCTGTTCTGGTTATCCGAGCACCAACAACATCCATAAAGTGAAAGTATATTATCTTGTAGTTTTACCTGGTAAGGATCTGTGTTCATATCAAAATATTCCAAAAAGCCAGTAGCAAACTCGCAGAAAAGAAAATTATGTGTCTCATTTACTGTACGTAAACACCAGTAAGTGTTATTGTTAGAACTTGTGCAGGCACAGAATGATCCCACTGTTGAGCAAGAAAGAAAAAACAAAACAAAAAGACAAATACAATGAAACAGCTTGGACGGTCCATTTTTGGTAGGTAGATGTTCTACTGCTAAACCATGCTTCCAGCCTGTGTGTGTGTGTGTGTGTGTGTGTGTGTGTGTTGTATGTAAAGGCAAATGTGCTTTGAGATAGGGCTTTGCTTCTTTCCTGGGTATATACCTGGACCACAATCTGCCTATTTTAGGCTTCCTGTCATCATTGGGAGATGGAATGTTTCATACTTTTCTGGCCTACAACCATGATGCTTCCATTCTTAATCTCCCAAGTAACTGGGATATATAAGGTAGATCCACTAGTACTTGGCTAATTTTCTTTCTTACAAATATTATGGTTTGATGTTAAAGACAACTATGTTGCCTCTCCCACATACATTTGCTGTAAATCCAGGTGAATACAGAAAACAAGATGAGGAGCTCTGAGAGATTGAAGGCCAAGGTTAAGTTGCAGCCCATTAGGCAGTTCTGTCCTTAACCATGTTAGACAGTGCTCTACGAAGAGGGGTTAATGACTGGAGTATGAGAAGAAGAAGAAGAAAACCAGAACCTGTCTTTCTGGTAATCTGTTTGGAAAAAGGAAAAAGAAATGGCTGTTTCTTAAAGGGATGAAGCTGGCCCCCTCATTTCTTCTCTGGGTCAGGAGCAAGGCCTCCCGAGGCCGGCCTCCACAGTGTGAGAGGCTCTGGAGATAGCTCAAGCCCAGCGTGGTGGCCTGGGGGAGGCGTCATTTGGAATCAGTGTGGACTTTCTCCACCACTTTAATTTGTGATGGGCTTTGGCCATGAGCATCATTGGTACTATGAAGAGGTCCCCTTAAATATTCGTAGGATGTATTTAAAAGAGATATAGAATTTAAAAATGAATCTCTCTCTCTCTCTCACCCAAAGCAGAAGTTCTGAATGTGCTTAAATTTCCTATTGTTATTATTATTTTTTAAATATATTTTTTATTGTGAAAATACTGTACAGAGGGGTTACAATTAGATGGGCAAGATAATGAGTACATTTCTTATCAAGCATTGTAGCCTCCTCCTTTGTTTACCCTTCCCATCCCTTCCCAGCCTCCCCCAACCCCCCACCTA